CTCTCTCACAAAATATTTCTCATCCAAAATACACAAAATCACAAAACAGGGAGGAGCGACTGATAGATGGGTGTGCTGCCATTCAGCGGGACCTTGGCAGGCTGGCAAAACGGGCAGAGAGCAACCTCATGAAGTTCAACAGAAAAAAAAACGCAAAATCCTGTACCAAAAACATGCTGGGGGCTGACCTGCTGGAAAGCAGTTTTGCAGAGAAGGACCTGGGGGTCTGATGGGCAACAAGTTGAAAATGAGGCAGCAACGCATCCTTGCAGCAAAGAAGGACAACAGCATCCTGGGCTGCATTAGGCAGAGCATTGCCAGCAGGTCGAGGGAAGTGATCCTTCCCTTCCATCAACCCTGTTGAGAGCAAACCTGAAATCACACACTTGCTGAAACAAGTAGAGTGAAGGGCCACAGAGATTATTAAATTAGAGCTGGAGCATCTATCATACGATGAGAGGCTCAGACAGCTGGGACCGTTCAACCTGGAGAAGAGAAGACTCTGAGGGATCTTCTCCATGTGTAAAAGTATCTGATGGGAGGGTGTAGAGAAGACAGAGCCAGATTCTTCTCAGTAGCACCCAGTGACAGGACAAGAAGCACAAACTCAAATGCAAAAAACTCCATTTAAACATAAGAAAACATTTTTTTACAGTGAGGGTGGTCAAGCACAGGAACAGGTTGCCCAAAGAGGCTGTGGAGCCTCCATCCTTGGAGATACTCAAAACCTGCCTGGATACAGTCCTGGGCAACCTGCTCTAGCTGACCCTGCTTTGAGTAGGGGGTTTGAGGTAGACAAGGTGCCTTCCAACCTCAACTGTTCTATGATTCGGTGAACTTAAGAGTTTTCGATACACATTTCCAGTCTTTTCTTCTGAATATCCTGGGCCCCAAAAACGCCTTGGACCAGTAAGTTCCACTGCTTCTGGCATCATTGTCTTCTGTGCATGCTTTCCCTGGGCAAGGTATTTCCTTTTCTCTCTTTGTAATGGCAACTTGTCCTTCTAATCATACGATCCTTGGCTTTTCTATTGTCAGAAGGGGTAAAATTTTGACTTTTGTCCCACTGCCTTCCCTACCACACACATTTGTGTTGTGTTCTCTTTCATTTGCCACTTATGTCACTCCTTATCAAGCAAGGAGTCTTGATCTTTTCAATCTTCCTTCACACGGGAATTTCCTGCGCTCACAATCAGTTTGAAAAATCTGACTGACAAGCAGAAAGGTTATAGGTTGGCAAAGCTAACGGCTTACTTCAAATTGCTGCTCTGTTGTAAAACAAGGAGGTTCAGCAGCTGGTTCATGAGCATCTCAGCTGTCCATGCAATGATGGGAAGATAAAGAAGATAACTTTCTCAGTCAGCCTATATCATGCCATCACATCATGCTGAGCGTCAAGCAGAGCCCCGATTCACATCTCTAAACGTCTTTTACATCTCTTGAGTAGCTTCTGAGGTGGTCAGGCCTGAACTGAACAGAGCCCTCCTAGGGCAGGCATGCTTTTTATAACATTATTATAATAATGTTATCTAAACAATTTTTCATCTCATTTCTTACAAAGCTCAGCATCCTATCACATTTTTAATCACTGCTGAAAAACGAGCGATATCGGGGGTATCTCCACAAATGACAGCCTTGATTGCTTCCCAAAGCTGATCTGTGAACACAGGCTTAATGTCCGGAGTTACAGATAGGAGACATTTTATCTTTGAGCAATGAGTAAATGTAAAAGCTACAAGCTGGATTTTTTCTTTCATAAGTATACCAAACGTAGCCTTGGGTGAAGACTTCAAGTCATTTGATAAGTATCTCAATTACCTAAAGAGATCAGTGACCGAACAGAAAATACAAATGGTTTTCTATTGTCTGGCAACAAGCTAGTTTGCCAAAACGGAGCTTTCCTGCTTCTCAAACTGAAGTGTCACTAATTGGTAGGCTTCACAAAGGCCGCACAAAATCCTGAGGATAATAACCACAATAGGGATATTCTCTTCAGCAGTAACCTCTAGAGAGGCAGGAATGTTACCCTGTCTGGCCTTTCTAAATTTGAGATCCTTACTGTAAGCTACTATGTGATAAACTCTGTACCCTGAGTAGATTTATAGAAATATTCTGTTTTGAGATTTAAAAATAAAGATTTTTTTTTAATCCAGGATATGGCACATATTTATTCTTGGGCAGCGTCCAACTGTGTTAATTTCCACTATTCAGTGAAATATTAATCTTAAAATGACTGAAAACTTATCTATTTAACAATAATAACAATAATAATAATATCATGGTTATACCGGGAGATGTTCATGTAGTTTCGTAAAGAAATGCTTTCTTACAGAAAACGTTAATGCTAAGAAGAAGTACTGAAAGCTAAAGAGTGAAAAATATAAGATTATCGTAGCTGACAAAAAAATTCCAATTCTCCCCATCTGATTTGAAATTAATTTCAGATGAAAGTCACATAGCATAGAAATGTGTTGTCAAAACATGCGACGAAACCTTGTTCTGCCCCCTTTAGGCAGAAAAGAACAGATATTCATTTAGGCCTACTCAACTTTTTTTCATCCAGCTGCTGTAAAGAGAGGAATAGCAGGCCTGTCCAGGAAACTATTTATTTAAAAATACTTTTACAGCACATTTGGAGTGGAGTAGGTATGTTCTGAGGGTCGATTTTTTTTCATGATGAATGCATCAATACTCAATCATTACCAGAGTTAATATGCATAATTGGATCTTTATGACAACTTCTTGATATTCTTAGGCTTATTGTTAAATGCTAAATTAGCAAGAGCTGCTCGTTACTTATTCTAAAGATTAAAGGTAATGCTTTAATTTACGTGAGCTTGATACTAGCCCCTGCTCTGCTCACCACCCTGCCCCCCAGAAAAATCTCTTACTGCTTTCTTGTCACCCTTTCCACACAAAAAAATTTAGTAGCATCTAATGAAAACGATGCCAGTTGGATGGTCTCCAAATTTAGTGTATTACTCTAATTGAACAATTTTCAAACTTGCAGAACTGCTTCTTACCATGGATATTTGAGTTTTGGGGTGGAGGGATTGTTTTTGCTTTGCAGTATTCAATTCTCTGGAATAGATCAAATATCAATTTTTTTTTAAGTGAAAGGTCTGTATCCAGTAGATTCCGTAAGTCTATCCCATGTGAATACTTATTTCGGTAATAAAACCCACATTTTTTTCTCCCTGATTATCCTCCTCTTTGAGGTCACTGTGATGGATATAGGTCTTACTACAAAACTTCTTATGAAGGTCATAAATGTTCCATTAGTAGCACTAGTAAACGTTTGTATTCTTCAGAATTGTTTCCTATTACAAAAGGGAAATAAGTACAAAGTTTTCTTTTTTTTTTCCCAAGAACAAAAGTAAAGCAGAGATCATTTATTATATATAGAAAATTACAAGGAAAGTGCGTTCTGCTTTTCACGCAAAGGCCCATACTGAACATAGCCAGTCTTTAGCATAAATTGATGTACCACCTCTCTGAATTCATCTTATTTACCTTCAGATATGCCTCACCGGACACCCACGTGAAGATCTGCTGAGAAATTTACTTTTCTAATTAACACCAAGTTTTCAGGCACTCAAATCAGACAACGATTATACAGTAGCCAGTTTGTCCAGATAGATCCCACCTGTGATTAAACAGTAGTAAAAATTTAGGTTGGTAAAGCTCAAATTCATGCTGAAAAGCAAAAGTAAACGTATAACAAAAGACTAAGGAACCTGAAATAGCGTGTCTAGGACATGACATAGGCACTACCAAATTAAGCTCCCTAAAACGAATGCCTGTTTAAAGGTAGTTAGTCCTCAAGCTCTTACTGCTGAGAGAAAAACACTCACACAAGCCCAGGGAAAATCAGGAATCTTTTATCTTCCTCTGTATTCCAGAGGGGCAACAAGAGCTAAAAATGACCCTGACAAAGACCTTGCCATCAAATCTTTAATTACAGTTTAAATCTCCAGGTTGCTCACCTGTTCTTGAAAATTTTCAACTAATATCCATATTTACTTCCTGTCCAGAGGTAGATCCTGAGATGGGGCTGGGGTAAGCTTGGATAACAGGTTTGCAAAGTGAATGAGGAATAGTACTTCTCTTCTTCCATTTTATATTTTTTCCAATTTCTTCTGCCACCAGCACAATTAATATTTCACTTGGACTTCACTGGAGACATGATATTTTTTAGTTACGAAAGAGTCTAGTGGTGGAAGGCTCAAAATTGCTGGTTTGCTAAGGAGAGGCATTAGCAGGCAGCACCAGGAAGGAGCTGAAATCCAGTGAGGGCAGGCATTTAGTTCCCTATTGATCACAAAAATAATGGATAGTTCATCTGTCCCCTCCTTTATATCTCGTAAAGCTTCAATTCTCACCCACTTCAGTTACAGGAGAACTGGAAATTCTGCAGGGTTTTACATTACTTTGAGGAAAAAATATATATATTCTTCAGCTCTTCCTGCAAGGCTACCTCAGATCCCAGCAGCTTCAGTATTACCACAGGCTCATTAGCACTTCACAGGATCAGGTCATTAGCCACTTCCTAAAACGATAGCAGGAAGTACAGTAGTGAAATCATTAGAGTAGAGTACTTCGCTTCTCATTAAGCAAAAGCAACTTTGCCTGCAGAAGAAGGATTTGGGATATATCAGCAGTGCTGTAAAATTTCAGTTTTCCCAGCAACAGAGTCAACGGAGTACTATGTCGAAAATCTTCTGAATTCTCTAAACGTACCAAGTGATTTGTGGAGGCACACTGCTGCAGAATCGCCCTCCTGAAAAGTGCATAATATCAGCCTTTATCCCTCTTCAGCTATTGAATTCTTTCGTAAGAGATGTGAAAACATACAGACACTGCCACAAAAACAGTGGCAGAAGTTATTGCATAGTCAACCTATCCATTCCTGTGCACCTAGAAGAAACTATTATTTCTTTCAAGCATGT